TCAAACTCTATTGGAATCCAAATTGAATGGGATTTTGACCTATTTTATGGATCTTATAAATAGAAAATAATTGTTACACATTGAAAAACCCTCTCTTATCTCTTCATATACAATAATATCATCAAGTTCATCGAGAACAAAAGGCCAATTATTACATTTTGAGAGAGAAGATCAAGTCATAGCAAGGAATTGAAGCTCAATTACACCAGATTTTGAAGAATTCAACCTTGGACTTAAAGATCAACATCTTTTGAATTATTTCATGATCCACGTTATATTTTTCTATTATTCTTCTTGTAATTTTTATATTAATATACTAGACTAAATCCGCTTTTGTATGGGATGAATATGAACCATATTTGTTATTTATTCTAATTCAAGACTGATAGTTTAATTTTTCTTATGTTTCTTAATTAATTTTGCATTTCCATTGCATTATTTGATTGTTTGTCCAACAATTAGATAATTAATTGCTTGTTATAGCATTGATAGACTCACAATAAGTTCAGAATACGGCAAAATTAACATATGTGCAATAGATATTAGGAATAACATTTACCATATATGCAATCATATAGATAATCTAAAATTTAATGAATTCTAACCATTTAAATTCCGGCTAGGAATAGATTCGGGTCGTGTTTATGATAGAATTATTTTTTCTTGAAGAAGAAAGATAAATACATTAGCTTTATCGATTGTCAAGAACATATGAATAGAACTAGATTACAAATCAAGAATTGAAATAGATAACAATATGAAGAGTCGAAATTCAATACATTCATCTATAATTTGATAAAAACCAATCTTTTATTGCTTTCTTAGATTAATTTAGCAAGAATAAAATCAAAATTTCTCTTTTGTTTTATATAATTTGAATTCCATACGAAACTAATAAACTTGAATTAAATCTATTCTCTATAAAACGATACTTTCAACTCACTAAAACTATTTCTTATCAACAATCATGTACGCTTGCGGGTTTCGCTCAAACAAACGTTCCAAAATGTGTTAAATCATATTATTCTATAGATAGTTACTTGAAGATCCAAATCATCATCTCTCTTGCAAAATTGAGCCCTAGTTTGGCCCCTATTATAATGAGTATTTGGGAAAAAAGTATTTTGGAATAATAATTTCTGAAAAATATTTGGTTAAAAAAGAAAAGAAATTGGATTACGTGTGATATTATTTTATTAGAGAATGTTTGGCTGATAACAAGAGGAAGAAAAATGAATTATAATTTTAATGGGACAAACAGGGGCTGAATCTCCAGACCCGCACTGCCTAGAAAGAATTACTTTTCCCATCCATTTCTGTGAGCAACATTAGAAAATATATGGTAATTGATTCAACATGAGATCTCCTTGTCGCCACGTGTACATTTGACGAGGAGTTCTATTGTAATGTCAAATTATTTATTGAGGAGAAAGCAGAACAAAAACTAAAGTAACTTTTTGAGGTATGATTATGTATGCTTATAACTATATATGTGCAGAAATCTCACATGGGTTTTCGATTTTTTATTTCGATCCTTTCGCATGGTTTTAAAACTGCATTATATCATGTTCTCGAATCTTATTTTCCTCTAATATTCAAGTCTAATTTATCATGGTTGGTTGGAAAAAGGATCTGCCTTTATTTTCTTCTGATTTGAGCATTATATATCATGCAGTTCTGAGCAGTTTTGCATTAATTTCAGCATAATGCTTGATTCATCTGTGATTTAAAGGCTCTAATTGAGCTTTAATTTTTTGAAGTGTTAGTAGAATAGTTAATAAAATGTTATTATTTAGTTCCACGGGGAAAACTTAAATGAAGCATGCTACAATTTGTTTAAGAAAAGATAGGTATGATTTATTCAACAATGAATTTGATTATTGGTAATTCTATGCAATCAATATCACTGACTGGTTCTTTCAAATTTGTTTTGCAGATGGATGCAACCAATTGTGGCAATTGTATACATGTGTCTCAATCTAATGAGATTGGGTCATCATCAATACAAGGCAAAGCGCCTTGTGTTGGGAAGAAATTTAAGACAGCAAAGGAAGCAAGGACATACTATAAAGATTTTGGACGACAAAATGGTTTTTGGATTTGTACTTGAATGGCAGTTAAGTCACGCCCCCATATAAATGAAGCTACCCTTATTAAATTTGTGTGCTCACATGAAGGAAATTATTATAGTAAGACGATTGTTGGAGGATCAAGTGAAATAGAGAATTGTCAAAAAAAGGGTTCTACAAAAAGAAGTTGCTCAACAGTTAGAGGTGGATGTATATGTGATGAGGTTTATGTGGAGGAACAGGCATTGGCATACATGGAACGGTTGGATAGTTAGCTTTCAAAGAAATTGATGTAACTTCTGCATTTGGTGTCCGTTTTGGGCCCATAACCCCATTTTGGAAAGGTAGCGAGCGTTTCGGATTGAACTCACAGCTTTGCTGTGATGTACGAGGGTTTTTGGGCATTTGAAGTCGTTTAGTGTGTCAAAACAGCATTTTAAGTTTTTGTGTTATTTATTTTCAGCATTTGTTATTTCCATTTTGTAGCCCAGCCCATTTTGGGACTGCTGGCCCAGTAGGTTATCTTTTCTTTCATATTTAAGATGCTGCAAGATGCCTCCTAGGGTTTTCTTGGTTGTTCACGAAATAATAAAAGTTTGTTTCTGAATTCAATTCGTTTGGTCATTGTTGTCGTGTGTTTGTAGATTCAATCTACATCATTTTGGTATCAGAGCATGGTGCGTGGGAGAGGACGTGGTGGTCGTGGTGGCCGTGGTGGCCAGATTGATGAAGTTGCAGATCTGCGTAATCAAGTTGAGGCGTTGACAATCCGATTTGATCAATTCATGACGTGGGCGGCAGAGGTTGTGCAGAACGGAACACCTCCTGCTCTTCCACGTCGTGCCCCAGTGAGTAATGGTGGAGGTGGATCTGAATCAGGGGAGAGGTCGGATGAGGAGACCTTGTTAGAGGTACGTGGCGATCGTGTTCAACAGTCTCGTGTTCAATAGCCTCGTGTGCAACAGCAGGACGCGTTTCAGCGATGGGAATCCGGATTCAAGGTTGATATACCTGAATTTCACGGTGGAATTGAGGCAGATGAATTCCTCGATTGGCTGGTGGTAGTAGAGGAGATCTTGGATTACAAAGAAGTGCTCGACAATAAAAGGGTACCTTTGGTGGCGACCCATCTGTGTGGTCGTGCTGCTGCGTGGTGGCAGCAACTGAAGCAAAATCGGATCCGTCAGGGTAAGGCGAAAATCCAGTCGTGGGAAAAAATGAAGAAACAGTTGAAGACAGCGTTTCTTCCCTTTAATTATTCCAGGACTTTGTATCAGCACTTACAGAATTTGAGACAAGGCAATCGATCTATAGATGCTTATTCCACAGAGTTTTACCAACTGATAGCGCGAAATGATATGGGAGAATCAGAAGACCAGTTGGTAGCGCACTATATTGGTAGACTACGATCGAATTTGCAAGATCCTAAATATGTTCTCGTCGGTATCTGTTTCTGAGGCTCACCAACGAGCACTTCAGGCTGAAAATCAACAACAATGTCGTTCTGTAGTAGGCATTTTTGGTGGTCCATTTGGAGGCGGGGGTCGACAATTCTCCCAAAATCCCACATCTAGTCCGTCTCAATCCTTTACATTTGGGGGTCGGGGCATTGATCGGAACACTTGGCCACTCCAATCGCTAATCCGGGTGGCTAGGCTCCTCCTGGTGGACGAGGGCGTGGAAGTCAGTGTTTTGATTGTGGTGGTTTTGGTCATTTGAGGAAGGACTGTCCATCTCATGGGCAGCCACGCCTAGGTTTGTTCATTGGAGGGACAACACAAGCCGATGTTAACGATCCTGTTCATGTGGAGAATGAAGAAGAAGAGGCTGAAATTGTGCATACAGGTGACACGGGGCCTCTTTTGGTGGTCCGACGGGCGTGCCTTACACCTAAGGGGTCGTCTGAGGACCTGCAGCGAAATAATATCTTTCTGTCTACGTGTACCATTGGAGGAAAGGTGTGTAAGTTCATCATTGATTCGGGCAGTTGCGAAAATGTGATATCTGAAGTGGCCGTACAGAAGCTACAGTTAAGCACCAAACCTCATCCTGCTCCCTATAGCCTAGCATGGTTGAGACGAGGTAATGAAATTCGTGTTACTAGCCATGTGTTGGTATCTTTTTCTATTAGCAGTGTGTATCGTGATAGTGTTTGGTGTGATGTGGTGCCGATGGATGCGTGTCATTTGTTGTTGGGGTCGTCCATGGCAGTTTGATAGGGATGTGTGCCATGAAGGGCGTCGAAATGCATATACATTCACCTTTTCGGGTAAAAATATTGTACTACTACCCTCCAAAGATACGCAGTGTCTGTCTTCGACAGGGGACGGTAGTGATCTACTTTCCCGATCTTTGTTTGTACGTGAGATGCTGGCAGAAGGTGTTGTACTGTTATTAGTGGGAACTGAGGCGACAGGAGTTTCAACAGTTCCTATGGCAGCCGAGGGGACGGGTCTTCACCCCAAAGCTGGCGCCTTGGTGTCTGAGTTTCATGATGTGTTTTCGGATGACCTTCGACAGGGTCTTCCGCCTTTGCGGGATATGCAACATCACATTGATTTGGTACTGGGCGCGTCATTGCCTAATCACCCACATTATCGAATGAGCCCAGTGGAACATGAGGAGTTGAGGAGACAAGCAGAGGAGTTGGTGCAGAAGGGGTACATTAGAGAGAGCCTCAGCCCGTGTGCAGTCCCCGCACTCCTAGTGCCAAAAAAAGATGGGAGTTATCGGATGTGTATAGATAGCAGGGCCATCAACAAAATAACTGTTCGTTATCGCTTTTCGATACCGAGGCTAGATCAGTTGGCCGGCGCAACTGTATTTACCAAACTGGACTTGAAAAGTGGTTACCGTTAGATAAGAGTCCGTCCTGGTGATGAGTGGAAGACAGCATTTAAGACACGGTAGGGATTATTTGAGTGGCTAGTTATGCCGTTTGGACTATCCAATACACCGAGCACATTCATGCTGGTGATGAACCAAGCCCTTCGACGGTTTATTGGTAAGTACGTTGTTGTATACTTCGATGACATATTGGTGTACAGTGGGTCGGAGGAGTCTCATGGTGTGCATCTAAGGGAAGTCCTTACTGTTTTACGCAAGGAGAAGTTCTTTGCAGCCACTAAGAAGTGTGTGTTCTATACCGATAGTGTTTTATTTTTGAGGTATGTTGTGTCAACGGGTGGGGTAACGGTGGATGCAGCTAAGGTTGATGCGATTTGGCAGTGGCTGTGTCCACAGTTAGTTTCTGATGTGCGGAGTTTCCACAGTTTGGCGCCGTTTTATCGACGATTTATTCAGCACTTCAACACCATCATGTCTCCCATTACAGAGTGCATGAAGGAGAGTAAGTTTCAGTGGACACCCGAGGCTGAGAAAGCGTTTTTGATCATTAAGGAGCGTCTGACTTCAGCCCCGATACTTGCGTTGCCTGATTTCACAAAACCTTTTGCATTACATTGTGATGCCTCTAAATTGGGTATCGGAGCTGTCCTCGGTCAGGAAGGAAAACCAGTAGCTTATTTCAGTCAGAAGTTGGTAGGGGCTCGTGGGAGGTATAGCACTTACGACGCAGAGCTTTATGCTATTGTTCAGGCCATTCGCCATTGGCGACATTATCTGTTTCAGCGAGAATTTGCCTTATACAGTGATCATGAAGCCCTCAAGCATTTGTCAAGCCAGGAATCTATATCTGCCTGTCATGCATCATGGGTTGCCTTTTTGCAGCAGTTCAACTTTGTCATTAAACATCAGGCTGGTTCTTCTAATCGTTTAGCAGATGCGCTCAGTCGGCGGCATGGGTTATTAGCGTGGCTATAGGTAGCGATCACCGGGTTTGAGACCTTTGTCTCTCTTTATGCTGATGACCCTTATTTTGGCCCCATCTATCACAGTTTACTGCAGGGGCCCCATTTCTGTTTTCTGTTAGAGGACGGGTATATGTTTAGAGGTGTTCAGTTGTGTATACGAGATTGTAGCCTTCATCTGAAATTGATTGAGGAGTTTCATAGTGAAGGTCATGTTGGGCGAGATCGTACTTTGGCTTTGATTAGCGCTTCATTTTTCTGGCCTACTATGAATCGTGAAGTGGAGAAGTTTGTCTCACGATGCAGGATGTGCCACGTGGCAAAGGGGAAAGCCATAAACGCTGGTCTTTATCGACCCTTACCAGTGACTTCAGCTCCGTGGATTGATATTAGCATGGACTTTGTCCTGGGTTTACCGCGCACACAACGTGGTAATGATTCCATCTTTGTGGTGGTAGATCGTTTTTCTAAAATGGTGCACTTCATTCCCTGCAAGCGCACCACTGATGCTATCAAGGTTTCTCAGCTATTTTTTAGAGAGATTTATCGGTCGCATGGGTTGCCCACTTCCATCGTGTCTGACAGAGACACGAGGTTCATCGATCACTTTTGGTGGAGTTTATGGAAGTCAGTTAACACGTCGCTCAATTTTAGTAGTGCTTATCACCCTCAAACTGATGGGCAAACAGAGGTAGTTAATCATTCTTTGGGTGACTTGTTGTGGTGCTTAGTTGGGGATAATCCACGCTCATGGGATCAGCAGCTTAGCCAGGCAGAGTTTGCGTATAATCATGCTAGAAATAGAAGCACCGGTTTCAGTCCATTCCAAGTTGTGTATAGTATTCTGCCCCGCAGCCCTATTGATTTATTGACTCTGCCCTCTAAGACTCGGCTGCATGGGACAGCTGTTGACTTTGTTCGTAGTTTGCAACAAGTTCACGAGGAAACACGAGCTAATCTGCTAGAGTCCAACCGTAAGTATAAAGAGGCGGCTGATCGGCATCGACGTCCTGTTGAGTTTGACGTTGGGGATTATGTTTGGGCGGTACTGACTAAAGATCGAGTGCCATCTCATGAGCATTCGAAGTTATCACCTCGTACCATTGGTCCAGTGGAAATTGTGGAGAAGATCAACCCCAGCACCTATCGCCTTCGACTTCCTTCCTATATACGGACTTCTGATGTGTTTAATGTAAAGCATCTTTTGCCATACCATGGAGACAACGTGGGAGATAGTGCTATCGGTTCTGATTCGAGGGCGAATCCCATTGATCTCGGGGAGAATGATGAGGTTTATGTGGAGGAACAGGCATTGGCATACATGGAACGGTTGGATGGTCGGCTTTCAAAGAAATTGATGTAACTTTTGCGTTTGGTGTCCGTTTTGGGCTCATAACCCCATTTCGATAAGGTAGCGAGCGTTTCGGATTGAACTCGCAGCTTTGCTGTGACGTACGAGGGTTTTTGGACATTTGAAGTTGTTTAGTGTGTAAAAACAGCATTTTAAGTTTTTGTGTTATTTATTTTCAGCATTTGTTATTTCCATTTTGTAGCTCAGCCCATTTTGGGACTGCTGGCCAAGTAGGTTATCTGTTCTTTCATATTTAAGACGTTGCAAGATGCCTCCTAGGGTTTTCTTGGTTGTTCACGAAATAATAAAAGTTTGTTTCTGAATTCAATCCTGAAAAAGATATAATTCGACCCAACCAACACCTAGAAGGGGGGTGAATAGGTGTTTATGCGGAATTTAAATCAATTAATTAATTCATGCAACAAGTCATATAAATTAAGCATTGCCTAGATTCATTCACATACTTTTATCTACCTAAGTTGAATTTTCGGTTGAAAAGTAAATAACGAAAAACAGTAAAAACAATAAAAACACCACAAAATGTTGACGGAGAAAACCCAACTGGGTAAAAACTCCGGGCACAAGCCAGTAGAGATTCACTATCGAAGATATTGACTTACAGTACGCCAGACACAATTGAAACTACCAATTCTCTGACCTCCTTACTGTATCAACCAAAGCTCTCCTGGATTCTGCAGATCTACGCCGAAATCCCAGCCTTGAATATCTTCAACCTCTCGTGAATCACCAAGCACTCCTGCTCTTCAAGCAATTTCCTTCCCGGATCTTCAAACTGATGATCTTCTGGAAGTTGGTAAGGAGTAATGGAACGTTGTTTTGATTTTTGTAAAGATTGATGTTTTTACTCAAAGAAACAAAAGATGAAAGATGAAAAGAATGAATTTGTTTGTTCTTGATCCTTTGGAATTTGAGAGGAATTGATGTTTTGTGTTTGCCAGAGGTTCTCAATGAAAAATCGGACGCTTTGTTTATATACTAGGTCGAATTTGGAAATATGGAGTGTTAAAAATTCGCGAGAAATTAAAATTAGCAATAGCCAGATAACACGGTCGCTCGAGCGACTGCCCAGCGAAACTCCAGCGAGGTTGGTTCTACAATTTAGGTTTGAGCGAGGTCAGGGCGAAACTCTAGAGACATCAATGCGTCGTTTGCAACTTCAAAGCATCCACCTTTACCCTAGACCAATGCAATAAAATTTATTAAATTGCAACTCTAGCCCCTGAACTATTAGACCTTTACAATTTAGTCCCTGACGTTACAAACATGACAAATAGGTCCTTTGGTCACAGATTGCCAATTACACATTTTCCTAACAAACTCCCCCTTTGACATTCTGTGACAAAAATACACATGACAGTCAAGGACGAAATAAACATGACTCCAAATAACCTATCTATTCTACCAAGTTAGCAATCTCTTGTTGAACCTATTTTCTGAAAATCAAAAACTCAAATACCAAGTGTAAAAGCATGTGGAATAGAAACAGTAAATAAAAACAAGAGATAGATCATATATCATTAACCAGATTAAGAAGCAATAATAATGTAAGTCAAAAACACCAAAAACATACACTAATATTGCCAAAACATCAAAAACTCAATCTAGTCATGAATTATACACAGACCATCGTTATATCACAATTACCAAAAAATTGATATCTATTTATCCAAATTGATGTCTATCTATCCAAACATCGAAAGACCAATAAGAAGAGGCTCCTAACCCCGGGAAACAAAAATTGCGACTATATCAATAGGAAGGTCAGATAAGATTACCTCACGCTCCACGAGAACGGGGCGTAAGGAGAACTGAGAAGTGAAGACTTCCTGAGCTGTAGCGGAAATGAATCTGGAACGACTATACGATGTCGAATCACTAGCTGGCTGTGCAGAGGATCGAGAACGCTTACGGGCCATCTGACATTCGTAGAGACAAAACAAATAAGTAATATGAAGAATGCACGTGATTCGATGCAATGTGGAATGAAACACCACACATACAAATGAGGCACAATAGAGATGCATCGACAAATGTGAATGACCCTAAGCACAAACGAAGTAAGATGAAGATATAGACCAAAAATATGTGTGAACACACCTATCATGGCACGTGATGACAAAGAACCAACGACGGAAAGGAAAGAAAGAAATGAGATACACAAAAAAAAACAAAAAAAAAGAAGGAAACAAAGAGTAAAATAGGTAAGGAATTTCATCGAGCATGTGGCGTGCATCACTTTGTCACACAATTCCAAGCACATACGAGATCCAATCACCTATCCAATGATATTCCCTCAAACTAGAAACGACGTACTTTAAAATGAAAAAACCACACGTCAAACGGATTAACGGAATGCAAGAACGAACGAATTGAAAATGGATGAAAAACATGTAAACCACATAGTTCGAAGAATGAAGAAATCAACAATGCAATGGAAATCGTGATGCACAATGATGGAAAGAACTCCCAATGAAACAAGGAATGTCGAAGCTACTATTAATTAAGTAACAATCAAGCAAGAATACCAAAGTAAACCAAACACACGAGAAAGAGAAGGAAAACGAAAAAAAAGAAAAAAAAATTACCTCAATATGAAGTTTGGCAAAGGAAATCCGGAAACAAATGTGTTATGGACCGTGAAGTGATGTTATTAGAGGAATATGGGGATGAAATATGGAGGAAATCACGAAGAAAAACGAAGGAGAAGAGAAAAAGAAGAAATTGCACGAAAAAAAATGAAACAGGGTCGTTTTAAAATAGGCATGTCGCTCGAGCGAATGTCCAGCGAGACTCGGGCGACAAGGAAACTGCTTTTGTCGCTCGAGCGAAGACCAGGCAAGACTTGAGCGAAACACCAAATGTCAGAAATAGCACTAAAAATTTGAATTTTGAGAAAAATAACATAATCTTCAAGAAATGACGAAATTAGCCCCAAATTGTGAAATTTCAAAAATAAGTGAACTACGTAATAGTGGAAAATAATCCAAAAAAATAGCATGGAACCACATATGCAATCAAAACCAACAATAAGCATAAAATCACAAACCCGACCACCAGAGTAGACAAATCGTTAATCCACACATAGTTCAAAATCCTGTGTAGTAAAGTGTATACAGAACATCACCGTGAAAAGTGCCACGTAGTCCATGCAAGCTAGACTCAAAACCTTAAATTAGTGAGAAAGGACACGTGAAAACAACCAGACAAAGGTGAATGTCGACCAAGTGACAGTCAAATCCAATTCCACGAGGACCTATATCAAATATTATGATTGTCACAATTTTACTCTCCCTAACTGTATGATTCCAAATTTTTATTTTTATCTTTATTGTTTTTTTTTAATTAACAAAAGAACTTAAGTGCAATGCCATCCCCATTAGACAACATAAATGACCCCTGTAACGAATTTTGGGCCGGTGACTCCCAAGTCAGACGACCATAGGGCACCAGGTTAGAAACCCCTTGGGCTTAATTGTTCGAGTCAAATAGGCCCCGAAGATAGCCATAAGTTCAACAAAGAACAAAAGTAAAACTGGGGAAAGACAATATTGATTAGGTTACACTCGTCCCAGATCAAGTCAAATGTACATACAACCCCAATCATAGAAGAACATCATCCCAAGTCTCACCCATGCGGTCAAGACTCACTTACAGGACTACAGTGTGTGCTGTGTGAAAATGAATGACGAGCCATATATCCAGAACTCCACAGTGAAAAATGAACAAAGATGGATCCTCAGATTCATACACTTATTGGAAAAATAGAATTTGATCTTTAATGCAGATGCCAGAATCGTTACATAAAAGTCAAAAAAAAATTTATTTTATTTTATTTTATCTGATTTTTTTTTTAATTAAAACACACATATAACACATAACAGAAGACTAAACAAAACAAAAGAAATGCATCACACACACGCAAGATATGAAGTGATGAGGTACATATGTGATGAATGCATGAACATGCATGAATCCATGATCAAATAGGTGAGCAAACACCAACAGCTGTTCGAAGCGACTCAAACCTCAATCCATCTAGTGGTTTCGTAAGTAGATCAGCCAATTGATTATCAGTAGAGACATGGTCGAGGGAGATTACATGTGATTCAACAAGCTCACGAATAAAATGATGTCGTATATCTATATGTTTTGTTCGAGAGTGTTGAATGGAATTTTTAGAAATGTTTATTGCACTTGTATTATAACAGAAAATAGTCATGGTCCCTTGACTAATCCCATAATCACTCAGCATTTGTTTCATCCAAAGAAGCTGAGTGCAGCAACTCCCTGCAGCTATGTATTCAGCCTCTGCCGTGGATAGCGATATAGAATTCTGTTTCTTGCTTAACCAGGCTACGAGATTGCTACCCATGTAAAAACAACCCCCTGTCATACTTTTTCTATCATCTGCGTTCCCGACCCAATCGGCGTCGGAGTAACTAGCCAAGTCAAGATTGGAATTTCGAGAATAGAAGATCCCTAGATCAACTGTACCACTCACATATCTAATGATGCGTCTAACAGAGCTTAAGTGTGATTCTTTTGGATCTGCCTGAAATCGAGCACACACACCAACGCTAAAAGCAATGTCAGGTCTAGTAGTTGTGAGATAAAGAAGACTACCTATCATGTTTCGATATAGGGAAGGATCTATACTCTTACCTGAAGGATCACGACCTAACTTCAAGCTAGTACTCATAGGTGTCCTAGTATGCTTCTTACTATCTAGCCCAAAGCGCTTAACTAGATCCTTAGCATACTTGGACTGTGAAATGAACAGTCCATCCTCTGTCTGTCTTACCTGAAGTCCAAGGAAATAACTCAACTCCCCAACCATACTCATTTCAAATTCTTGCTTCAAACATTCAGCAAACTCATAAGCTAGAGACTCAAGAGGAGAGCCAAAAATTATGTCATCGACATAAATCTGAGCAATGGTGATAGTTTCATCAACATGTCTAATAAACAAGGTCCTATCTGCACCTCCTCGAGAGAATCCATGTTCTTCAAGGTATGATGTAAGTCTCTCATGCCAAGCTCTAGGAGTTTGCTTCAGACCATAGAGGGCTTTGTGTAGTTTGTAGACATAGTGGGGAAACTTAGGATCAACAAATCCTTTTGGTTGTTCCACATAGACTTCTTCTTGAAGAAGTCCATTCAAGAAGGCACTCTTTACGTCCATTTGATGCAACTTGAACCCTAAGGTACAAGCAACAGCTTGCAGAATCCGAATAGACTCAAGTCGTGCAACAGGGGCAAAAGTCTCATCAAAGTCAATTCCTTCAACTTGAGTATAACCCTGAGCAACTAATCGAGCCTTATTCCAAGTTATAGTACCCTGGTCATCTGTCTTATTCTTAAAGATCCACTTAGTACCAATAACATTACAATTCTCAGGTCTGGGAACTAAGATCCACACATTGTTCCTAGCAAATTGATTGAGCTCCTCATGCATCTCATCCACCCAACACTCATCACCAAGAGCCTCTTCAACCTTTTTAGGTTCTACCTGAGATACATAGCTAGTGTATGCTAGATTGTTCAGTACTCTCCTACGAAGCCTCATACCCTCATCTAGATCCCCAATGATATTGTCTTTAGGATGATTAGACTTAACCCTAGTCGATGGTTCCTCAGGATCTTTATCTCGATCTTGTGGAAATGTTTTCTTTTCAGGTGTTTCAGGTTTTTTAAGTGATGATTCAGACATAGGTATCTCAGTAGGATCATTAGAACTTATAAGATCTCCATCTTCATCACAATTTTCAACACTCTCCCCCTCACTCACAACATCATCTATCACAACATTTACTGACTCCATCACCACACGAGTACGTAAGTTGTACACCCTGAATGCTCGGCTATTTCTAGAGTATCCTAGGAAGATTCCTTCATCACTCTTCGATTCAAACTTACTCAAGTTCTCTCTATCACACAAAATGTAGCACTTACTCCCAAACACTCGAAAGTACTTAACAGTAGGCTTTTTACCCTTAAGTATTTCATATAGAGTCTGATCGGTCTTGGGTCTAAGGTAAACTCTATTAATTATGTGGCATGCGGTGTTAACAGCTTCTCCCCAAAAATGTAAGGCTAGTCCCTTGCCATGAAGCATGGCTTTAGCCATGTCCCGAAGAACCCAATTCTTCCTTTCAACCACTCCATTTTGTTGAGGAGTGATAGGGGAAGAGAACTCATGCAATATGCCTTCATCCATGCAGAAACTTTCGAGATTAAAGTTCTCGAACTCCTTTCCATGGTCACTATGCATTCTAGACACTTTGAGATTTAGTTCATTGCTAAATCGTTTGCACAAAGACTTTATGAGATCACATGCATCAGATTTTTCCCGAAGCAATTCTATCCATGTGAACCTCGAGAAGTTATCTACCACAACTAGAATGTATCGCTTACCACCTAAACTCTCAGTCCTAGATGGTTCCATTAAATCCATGTGTATCAATTCTAAGGGTCTTTTGGTCAGAATTTTAGAAGTCTTCTTATGGTTTCCCTTGAGTTGTTTCCCTAGTTGACATGGTCCACACACAGCATGTTCACTAGGACCTATCTTAGGCAAACCATCTACTAACTCTTTCTTAGCTAGTTGTACTAGACTCTTATAGTTCAAGTGACCTAACCTTTTGTGCCAGAGTTCACTCACATCAATTTTAGCACTCCTACATACATAGTTAGAATTAGGCAAGACTCCATAACAATTATCAGCTGTTCTAACCCCTTCAAGAACTACCCCACCAGATGAATCATACACAGTACATCTCTTTTGCACAAAGCTCACTTCAAAATCAGCATCACAAATTTGACTAATACTTAACAAATTTGATTTTAAACCTTCAACATAAAGCACATTAGAGATCTCAGGTAAACCATGCATTTGTACAGTACCTTTGCCAAGAATAGGTGCAGAACCTCCATCTCCAAAGGTAACCATTTATCAAGAGTAGTAAACAAAGCCTTATTACCACACATATGCCTAGAACATGCACTGTCTAGGTACCACATATTGTAATTTTGGGCTTTTAATGCAACATGAGCAACAAAACACTTATCTTGACTTGAATGTCTAGCTAAATCGCCCTTTTTGACCCAAACTTTCTTAGATGATAAGGTACTCCTAGTAAGCTTAGTAAGCATCTCAGTCAAATGACTAACTTGATTAGACAGAAAGCTAACCTGACTAGGAATGTTCTGATTTCTACGCTCATTGCCTAACTTATAGCATTTAGGTCTAGTGTGTCCTAGAGCTCCACAGTGGTGACAGGTGGGAATGAACCTAGGTTTAAAGGTACGTGGCTGTGGGTATCTGGGTATGGAGTTTCTATGTGATTGATGATTCTGTTCTCTCGGAACATTCTTACCCTTATTTGAACTACTTACAGCATTTACTTTCTTAGATGCAGAAACAAAAACTGTTTTAGAAGGTCCAGCAACAAGTGAGTTATTCTTAACATATCCTAGACCCTTCCTATCTCCTGCAGGCTTATTCATTCCCAAGTTATTGTCCAATTTCTTAGTCCCACTAATGAAAATCTGAAGATGAGCATTAGATTTCTCCAATTCACTAGTCAAAGTCTTAATTTTGTCATCTAACTTCTCATTGACACACTTTAACTCACTACCATTCTTAAGTGACTCCTGAAGATTACTAGCAAGTTTCTCTTTTTATCTTTCAAGTTCGTCAACCTTTTTGAGTAGGGCTTTATTTACCTTTTTGATTCTAAGACTCTCCTTAAATAAAAGTTGATAAGCTTCTTGTATGTCTATCTCATCCTCATCTTCATTACTAGAATTATCGTTAGAATGTTCTTCCTTAACCTTGTCACTTTCCCTATCAGATTCACTCTTAACAGTCGATACAAATGCCATGTAGTTTCCTTCGTCCTCACTACTAGAAGAATCCTGTCTATCACTGGTCTCAGATTCATTATCTGTGAGTGAGACAACTAAGGCCTTACCTTTCCCTTTTCTTTGGTTCTTCTTATAACTAGGGCATTTATTTCTATATTGACCTATACCTTGACACTCATGGCACCTAACCAAACGTGGTTTATCACTCGACCCTTTATTGTTAAAAGTTTCAGTTTTTGCTTTTGTGAATCTGTTAGGGGCTCTACTCTTTTTATCTTGAGGTTTTCTTCTATTCTTGAGAACTTTTTGGAATTTCTTAACAAAGTATGCAATTTCCTCGTCCCTAAGTGACTCAGTATCAGAAGATTCATCTTCTTTGATGAATTTTAGGGATATGGACTTACCTTTCTTAGGTTGTGTAATAGTGAGTTCATAAGTTTGCAACGATCCTACCAGTTCTTCAATTTTAACTTCATCTAGGTCCTTACTTTCCTCAATGGTAGTGACTTTAGGTCTAAATCTCTCGGGCAAGGATCTAAGCACTTTTCTCACAATTTTAGACTCGGGAATTTTCTCACCTAGATTGAAGCTAGAATTGACAATGTCATTTAATTTAGCATAGAATTCGTCAAACGTTTCATCATCCTTCATTCTTACTTCTTCAAACCTAGAAGTTAGCATTTGTAACTTAAAGTTCTTTACCGTTTTAGTTCCCTCATGTGTAGTTTCAAGAATGTCCCAAACTTCTTTAGCAGTTTCACACATTGACACTCTCCTAAACTCTTCGGGAGATATGGCCATAAACAGGGCATGAAGACCCTTGCTATTCCAATTACACTCAGCTAGTTCATCCTTAGTCCACAGTGATATATCGGTAAGGTTAACAGTTCCTGATATGCTAGTAGAGGGAGGTTTCCAACCATTTTGCACACTTAACCAAACATGCTCATCTAAAGACTTAAGAAACGCACGCATTCTAACCTTCCAATAGGCATAATTACTTCCGTCAAAATACGGAGGAACAGAAAGTGATTGACTCATATAGACAACTATGGGTCAGGACTCGAGATTTAGCTCTGATACCACCTGAAAAAGATATAATTCGACCTAACCAACACCTAGAGGGGGGTGAATAGGTGTTTATGTGGAATTTAAATCAATTAATTAATTCATGCAACAAGTCACATAAATTAAGCATTGCCTAGATTCATTCATATACTTTTATCTACCTAAGTTGAATTTCCGGTTGAAAAGTAAATAACGAAAAACAGTAAAAACAATAAAAACACCACAAAATGTTGATGGAGAAAACCCAACTGGGTAAAAACTCCGGGCACAAGCCAGTAGAGATTCACTATCGAAGATATTGACTTACAGTACGCCAGACACAATTGAAACTACCAATTCTCTGACCTCCTTACTGTATCAACCAAAGCTCTCTTGGATTCTGCAGATCTGCGCCACAATCCCAGCCTTGAATATCTTCAACCTCTCGTGAATCACCAAGCACTCCTGCTCTTCAAGCAATTTCCTTCCCGGATCTTCAAACTGATGATCTTCTGGAAGTTGGTAAGGAGTAATGGAACGGTGTTTTGATTTTTGTAAAGATTGATGTTTTTACTCAAAGAAATAAAAGATGAAAAGATGAAAGATGAAAAGAATGAATTTGTTTGTTCTTGATCCTTTGGAATTTGAGAGGAATTGATGTTTGTGTTTGCCAAAGGTTCTCAATGAAAAATCGGACGTTTTGTCTTATATACTAGGTCGAATTTGGAAATATGGAGTGTTAAAAATTCGCGAGAAATTAAAATTAGCAATGGCCAGATAACACGGTCGCTCGAGCGAGGTGCTGGCATAACTCGAGCGACGCACCTTCGCTCGAGCGACTGCCGAGCGAAACTCCAGCGAGGTTGGTTCTGCAATTTAGGTTTGAGCGAGGTCAGGGCAAAACTCTAGCGACATCAACGCGTCGTTTGCAACTTCAAAGCATCCACCTTTACCCTAGACCCATGCAATAAAATTTATTAAATTGCAACTCTAGTCCCTGAACTATTAGACCTTTACAATTTAGTCCATGACGTTACAAACATGACAAATAGGTCCTTTGGTCACAGATTGCCAATTACACATTTTCCTAACAAATCCGTTTGGTTATTGTTATCGTGTGTTTGTAGATTCAATCTACATCAATATGAATCTCAAATGACATGTGGCTATTGAATTGTTAAAGCATTTGAAGGCGAGCAACCAATTTCTTTTGGGTGGATGCAATGCGTCGCATGTCATATCATTGTTTCAATGATGTTGTAAGGTTTGACACAACTTACAGGACAAATTTGCTTTATTTACTAATGTAAACCATCATTCTCAATCTACACAATTTGGTTGTACATTATTACAAGATGAGACCGAGGTAACATTTTCGTGGTTATTTCTACATGGCTTGATGCTATGGGAGGATGTTATCCTATGTCTCGGAAAATTAGCCAAATTTTCACAAATAGCTTGCAGTTTTGCATCAACAGAGGATGGCAGTGCCTTAAATCCACCGAATTCTTGTCATGACTAATGCTTAAGGTGAGGAAATATATCCATGAATGATGGAGATTCAATTTCACTTGAATTAAATGGATCACGGAAATGTATGGGCAAAGTAATTCTTTCCATTTTTGCTTGAATTTCCCCAATGCCTTCAAAATGTTGTCTTAGACCTCTTATCTGTCAAACAAATAATTAATAAATAGGAGCCAAATTGTGCCTTTTAGTCAAATTAACAGTTAGTTCATGATTAAGGAATCAAGAATTCAAATAATTAATTTATAATGAATGTGTGATCCTCTCATTTAAAAAATTTCAAACTATTCGAATAAAAAGGGACAATTGTAATTGTAAATGAAGCCTGATTAACACAATGAGCATTAGAAATTTTAGGGTTTTATAATTGAATTTCAGTTTTAGAAAATAAAAAATCACTCGTAATTTGAATAATAGGGGAAAAACATATTCAAGAACATGATATAATGCAGTTTTAAAACCATGCAAAAGGATCGAAATAACAAAATCGAAAACCCATGTGAGTTTTCTGCACATAAACAGTTACATGCATACAAAAAGTCACTTCAGCACTTATTCTGCTTTGTCCTAAATAAATAATTTGACGTTACAATAGAATTCTTCCTAAAATTTACACTTGGTGGCAAGGAGATCTCATGTTGAATCAATTACCATGAATTTTCTTAAGTTGCTCACAAAAATGGATGGGCAGAGGAATTCTTTCCGAGCATTGATGGTTTGGAAATTCAATTTTGTCAATTTTGGTGATGATGAGAATAAGATAATATGATAGAAAATCACGATCTTGTTGAGAGATTCTAGAGATTAATATAAGGTAATTAGGGGTGTCTGGAAGTAAGCAAGTTTATGAATTCTATAGTGTTTTAATAGATAAATTTTGAGCATTTGATTGATTTAAATCAAAAATTATAATTATTTGTCAAAAATACTTGTCAAATTAATGGTAGGAGGAATGGTACCATTACTTCTATACATTTAAGCTAAGCAACTTATAAATTCTAAAACCTAGTAAATTAAAAAATTTGTTTATAAGTATCCAATTCGAATAGTACACGCTAGGTAGACAGAATATCCTATGCCTAGTTTCTAAGCAATTTTGACTGTAGCGTATAAACAGAATAGATTATTCTTAGTGGTTTTAATCAATTGCAGAAATTAAATAACATATTAAAACATAAACACCAGATGTAAGATGATAAATCCTTATAAAAAAAAATATCCACGGCCCCATGCCACGGGTTAAACAATCCACTATATCAAATAATAAAAAATATAATATTCAATTTTGTAATTTCACAAAATTAACAAAAACAATTAAAAGAAATCTATAAACAACTCTCTCGTCTTTTCCTTCTCTTGACTTGTTGGAGATGTGAAACCAAACATTTTGATCTTGACTTTATCACCGCTTCACTATTGTATTCGGGCACAACTACAACTTAAATTAAGATTCACCAACCTTAACTTTGTTGGAGCAAAAGATGGGTTTACTAACTTGGATTAGCTAAAGCTTTTAAAAGGACAACACTAATAGGAAGAAGGAAGTGAAAAAAAGAAACTTGTATTTCTCAAATTCAAGACTTTACACACTTTTTAGCTTATTACAAAATGGAGGGCACTACCCCTTTAAATAGTGTTTACAAGAAGATTCTAGTCCACACATTTTCTAGAGACACCTAGACTACATATCAAGATATTTTCCTAGAATTCTCTAGATATTCTTTATAAAACCACATATCTTACTTAGATATTTATATAGATTTTTCTAGTAGATATTTATATAGATTTTTCTAGATAATAATTCTAGAAATGCTATGTATGTTGGTCATTTTAATTGATTTGGGCCTATAAGCAAAATCCTTAAACCCATATTATTTGGTCCAAAAATCAAGTTTACTGCTCAACATCCCCCCTTAAACTTGATTTTGCTACTCCAAGTAGAGTTCTTAACTTGCAAAACACATCATGCTTGAGTGGCTTAGTGAGAATGTCGGCGATATGCTCCTGGGAGGTTACATATTTCAGCTGCACTTCTTTCTTTGCAATGCTTTCTCTTATGAAGTGATATCTTGTATCAATGTGCTTGCTTCTATCATGGAATACTGGGTTCTTTGCCAATGCCAATGTCGATTTGTTATCAACATGGATTTCGATTGGCTCTTCTTGTGATACTCCAAGCGTCTTCAACAAGTTTCTAAGCCAAATCGCATGGCAGACACTTGATGTAGCTGCAACATATTCAGCTTCACATGTAGATAGTGCTACGATCGATTGCTTCTTTGAGCTCCAAGTGAAAGCTGTGTCGCCCAAATAAAACACGTACCCAGTCGTACTCTTTCTATCATCACTATCTCCGCCCCAATCGCTGTCACTATATCCAACAAGTTTGAACTCATTAGATGATGAATAGACTAAGCCATAATCAAGCGTACCTTTGATGTAGCGAAGAATTCTCTTTGCAGTTTTCATATGGGTCATGGTAGGTGTCTCCATATAGCGACTAATGAGCCCAACTCCAAAAAGGATATCTGGTCTTGTGCACGTCAAATATCTTAGACTTCCAACAAGACTCTTAAAAAGTGTTGGATTTACTTTTTCACCTTCATCATTCTTCGACAACTTGATTCCGCATTCGACGGGGGTGCATACGGGCTTACAGTCCTCCATATTGAATTTCTTTAGAATTTTTTTCGCATATCCTTCTTGTGAGATGAAAATGCAATCCTCCATTTGCTTTACCTCTATCCCAAGATAGTAGGCCATGTGGCCGATATCTGTCATCTCAAATTCTTGAGCCATGACCTTCTTAAACTCAGTGATCATACTTTGATTATTTCCTATAAATATAAGATCATCTACATACAAACAAACAAGCAAAATATCTCCTTTCTCATTTACCTTTGTATAAAGGGCATACTCATGAGGGCATTTTGTGAAGTAATTTTCTAGAAAGTACTTGTTACTTCTACTATTCCATGCCCTTGGATCTTATTTCGACCCATATAAAGTCTTTTTAAGTTTCAATCCATCTGTACCACATCATTCCCCATTGGTTGAGAAAAATTCTCCCTGGAATTTTGGCGGAGAAGTAACGTTATCATTGGAATTATCACCATGAAATGGCACCAGATACTTGACATTAAAAACGTCGAGTGTATGAATATACTGGGCAGCTTCAAACGATATGCATTGGGATTAATCTGCTCAATGATTTCCAATGGACCAATTTCTTCATACCCTATTGGTTCACAATCGACAAAAAGACAAAAAAGTGTGAGATCATTTTGATTTTCGGTTACCTCATATAGCTCTTGTAGGCTCCTCATCCGTGGTGTCCTTTCGCTTGAACTTTCTCCTTGTGAAGTTGATGGAGAAGCATTTCCATGAGTAGGCGATAGAGGTGGACTGATAATCTCTTGCTGCTCTCCATTCTTTTGTTCTTCATAAAAGAATGGTAAGAAGTCATA